ACTTGGCTTCGCGCTGCTGAACACGAGGCTGTGAATTAGACTCCCGGCTTCGGAAGACGCAGTTAGGTTGGAGGCATATAAAACCGCCCGTGCGCAGTTTATGTGATTGCGGGTTGTCAAAATTAATTCCGAGTCATCAGCCTCTGCATACTGTACAAAAAAAAAAAAAAAAAAAAGATGCCTAGAAGCAGGCTTCACCTCAGCATTTGTCTTGTTGCAGAGAAGCTAGCTTTCACAACACGATAGGTCAAAGTTTGGGTTTGTGGACTCCTTTCGACAAGTTTCAACAAGCACAGAATACACACGGTACCCACAGAATCATTGTCCCAAATTCGCGAGACGTTAATTTTGCGCGGCTGGAAGTGTATACGGAAAGTCCCTTGTTGCTGTTACCTCTGGCGTACTCCTTCGGAGTAGATGTCAAGGTTTGTTTCGGCACTGGTATTTCTGCGTTGATATAAATTGAAATAGGAACACCTGAGGTTCGTCGGCTTCACTTCCATAAAGTATATACTTCAATTAAGCTTAATGTTCTCGTGATAAAGCAGACAATGATGTAGATCGATTGGGAATTACTAATGGATGAGCTTAGATCGAAGCCCTCGAAAAAAAATATGTAAGAAGTCATGGTTCAGCGCAACGAAAGTGTTCCATTAACGTTCACTTTATAGCGTAATCTGACTCGCAACTACCGAAATTGACCGAGGCCACCGCTTTCACTTGAAGGTATATGTATGAACCGGTTTTATGTCTTGATACTCGGTACTAGAACTAATTTTGGATATCTATATACGTTTAGAGTCGTCTTTCCTATTACTACATATCGCAACTGGCGATTTCAATTTCACAAATTTGCTTTTGTTTAATAGACTTCCAATGCAGTTGGCAAGAGTAACAAGCAAATGTGTAGCTCAGTTACGAAGTTTAATGTAACCTTAGCCCTCATTTCGCGGTGTGGAAAAAAAAAAAAGCGCTGGTATCTTTTTGCTCTGTTTATCGATGATATTTAGAATGCAAAATCGTTAGCACTGAATAATACCTAAACCATCGTTAACATCGCTAACGTTCGTTTGGCGAAACAGTTATGGATTCGTTGCTCTAGGCAGAAAGCGTTCAGTTCACCGTCGACCTTGTCGCGGCGCTGCCCTCTTGCACCTGCAGTCAGGTCTCCTCGTCAAGACCAGTGGCACCAGGCTCCTCGTACGGCTCCGTCGGATTCCTCGAACGATGTTGCTTGCGTCGTGACGTTTGGCTTCGTTGACGTCATGCCTGACTGTGCCTGTATCACTTACGGATTCGTCAGTGAACGTCCAACGACTGCTCGTACGGTCCGTCGGATCTCCAGCGGACGTGGCCAGCTCGCGACTTTCTTCTGTCCACTCATCGAACGCTGTGGATGGCGTGTCTGCGCCAGGTGAGGGAGTATTCGTAGGTGTCCGTCGCTTCGTCGTTGGTCAGCTCATCTAGCGTCGTCGTCCCGTCGGTACTGGACGATTCCCACAGCCCCGTTTCGTCTCTCGGGTCTTGTTGGCTAACGGGAGACGCGGTCTCCGGCGGGGAGCGCGTTGCGTTCGCTTCCGCGCTGTCGACCTCTGGCGGCCCAACGCCTTCGGTGAACCTGTCGTGCCCCATCTCCGCAGTCGTCGTCACATCTTCCGCTTCCTCGGACGACGACGGCGGCGGCGTATGGGAAACCGTCGCCGGCCTCTTGCGCCGGCGGCGTTTCTTCGTCCTCTTAGACGGCCTTCTGGAAGTCTCCCGCGGCTGGGTGGCTTTTCTTGCGCCGGGTTTGGCGACAGTGGGCGGAGCTGTAGGAGGACGTGGGACACCCGTTGACTGCGTTGACGCGTTTGCTGGTGGCGCAGTGGGAAGCGGTCGTTGTTCGATTTCGTGGGCGTATGCTGCCGAAAGGAAAAAAAAAAAGATTATATGTCGAATATATGTGCGCAGCTCTGCAAATATTTACGGGACTCTGAAAAAAAAAAAAAACACCGCGCAGCTGAAAACTAATGCGGGCCTAAACAAACTTCTCTGGCGCTCACCCAGGCCTTACTTTATAATGCATGCAAAACATTTTAGTTCCCAACACGATACCCCCCCCCCCCCCTCTTTTTTTTTCCGTTATCGCACTCATTGCTGTTCTTGGCACTCCTTTAATGTGACGAAAAGAACGGCCTACTGGATACCGAAAACAGCTTGCCTTCTGATTATCCCTCTTGAAAATTTTCTTACATAGTTCATTATGTTGTGTAATATAAGACCACCACCACTAACAACAAAAATGTAATAAAAAAGTGACATGCTTCCTGAACACCTGGGCAGGGTTTGGGGAGGGGGCAAAGTATTTTTTTTTCATAATAGTTGCTAAGGTTTGACGTCCCGAAACCACAATATGATTATGAGGGTCGCCTTATAGAGTGGAGAGCTCTGGAAATGTCGACCTTTTTTAACATGCCCCTAATTGTATAATACACAGGCTTCAAGCATTTTGGCCACCGTCGAAAATTGGGTCGCCGCGTCCGGGATTCGGTACCGCGACGGGCGCGTCAGCAGGCGAGCACCTGAAGCACTAAAGACCGCCGCGGCTGCTTTTTCTCCATTTGTTGCTCAGTTGAGCGTGTTCAGTCATTGCCTAACGAGCAACGCAAGTTGCTGACCAAATGGTGATCAAAGGCCCCTTATATGTTGCATTCCTATAGAGCCGTTTACTTTCTATCGTTACTCCCGTAGAGCCAGAGACTATATTCAGGCCATTGCGGAAAGCACTTCTCTGCTTCACTTCTATTTTCAGAATCGAAGCCTCTTGGGACCTCACGATGTCGGATCGTTGTCGTCCAGGCTCGCCGTCGTCCCCATGGTTGAAGCCCAGGAGCGAAACGTCTCTGCGCAATACCGTCTACAGAGCGTATACACAGCGCGCATATGGTTAAAAAAATAAACATTCTTTATCGTCAATGGAGCTTAATTCATGGACCTGCAGCGTCTTTTTTATTCATTAACTGTGAACCATATGTTGCCTTTTCAACTCTACCAACAAGAGTGAGGGAAGAAGGTTGAACTTTGCCCTTCGTAATGAGGAAATCTTGCCTACACCCCTGTGTAGCGTCTACTATACCCACCGAAGAAGAGTGCCGTGACGAGTGCAGTGATGAACGAGAAAGTGAGCAGAACAACGAAGAACAGGCTGAGGATGCTGGGTCGCTCCTCTCTGTTCTCGCTCGGAGGACTCGGCGTCGCTAAAGGCGTGTTGCGGCCGCCCTGGCGCAATGACGGCCTGGCCGACGCCGTCGGACTTTTGCGCATCGCGTCGTCGTTTGGCACACAAGACGTGTGTCGGGACGTATCTCCCTATTGTCGTTGCGGCGGTATCCTCCAGCCTGCGGCGGTGCGTCTTCTTCTTCTTCTTCTTCTTTTTGTTCTTCAATCAGTAGTAATTTTCGGTCAATCCCCCACAGTGGGTGTTCGCCACAGCTAATTAGTGAACAAGAACATTTGTCCGCTATGGCATACTATACCATTGAAGGACGCGCTATGACGGGAGATGAATAATTTATCATTTAGTTATTTTTCTTCAGGCAAATGCAACTGTTTCGGGTATAGATAACAAATACCCTGCGTCGCAACAGAGACTGTGGAAATTTTAGCTTTGACACGAAGTCGTGATCACGCGTCATTGTGTGTGCCAAGTAATAATTGTTGGGCGTTTCACTTGTCAAAACCACGATATAATTACGGCAGACGGTGTAGTGGAGGGCTCCAGTATCATTTTGACCATCTGGTGTTACTTAAACTGTACCTAAATCTAACTGTGGTATTTTGTCTTCATAGAAAAGTGGTCGCCGCGGCCTAGATTTCATTATGTGACCTTCAGGTCTGCAGCCGAGCACCGTATCATCTAAACCTGCGCGACGGGTGTCATTGCATGTTGCCCCTGAGTGGGTGGGCACCAATCGTCCCAGAAACGTCATCATTATTGTCAGAATGTCGCTAAGAACCATTCCTAAAGAATCGTGCTTGATTTGGCGCAGAAAATACTTGACGCTCGAAATGTGAATCGATCTCTTCGCTCATGCATGCATAAACGAGCCTGCCTTTTCTGGACAATCTGTGGGGCGAACATCCACTGCGGGATTTCAGAAACCAAACAAGGACTGTGCCCATGGCCATCGGCAGGATTTAGTCTTGGGTATGCAAATCCATGTTGCATCGCAGCTGAGGGAGGGGAACATCACTGATGTAGCTTGGGTAAGGGGAAAGTGTTGATGTCGCTTGAGGGGCGTAAGTGCCCCGTTTGAGCTCCCCTGCCGACGCCCAAGGCTGCGCACACATCGCGAGTGGCGCTGCAGAATGTGAGGTGCTAGTAATGAGTGAATAGGTGATGCTCGAAGTGCGAAATTGACAACGAAATGCGAGTGCCCAAAAATGTTCACCGCGATTGTGTTAGTTACGGGATCGCGCCCCTGAAGGGTTCAATCGTGTCGGTTGGCAACAAGATCTGGAACATGTCTGTGTATAGCAAGAGCGGAAAGGCTATGCGATTTCTCCAGGAGCTTAGCCAGGGAGTAACGGGGCACGTGGCTCTCCCGAAATTTATCTCCCATGTGTATAACACGCTTCATAACACTGTCACTCGACTTCATCCTCCTGCCCAGCCCCAAGTCAGGATAAGGAGGTACTTCACTCATGGGACTTTTAAGTCTTCAGGCGGGGGTGTAGCTGCGAGAGGTGACCTGTTTTAAAGATTCCTGAATACGTCACTATGGGTGTCTGACAGCTCTATAGCACCTACATATATATGCTACCCTATAGAACTTGTAGGAGACATCCTCACACTACCTGACCATTTCCTTGCATTGGGTGTGAGCCATGGCCAGAAGACAACAGCTATAACAACCACGGTCACAGACATCGCCATCGCGCACCCTGGTGCCCCGTGCTCGCAAGATGGCCGGTGGCTGTAACCGGCTGCTGTGCTGGTGAGGCTTAGGCCCCGTGGCAGCATGGAGAACGAGGAGACCACGCTGGTCGGGCAGCGGGAAAGCCAGCCGGCCGTGGACCTCGGCGACCCGTTCATCAACAGCGCCCTGGTGCACACGGCCAGCGCTTGTCTCATCTTTGTCGTCGTGTTCATCTTCGTCCTGCCGGGGATATTACTCACCACGCTGCGCCGAGAAAAGCCCTACCAGGTACGCATACAAACTACCTTCCTGGCTTACCTCCGCGCATTGAGATATCGCCTTTGACGTTACTGCGCAGCCCTCTGTGATGGTTCGCACAAGCCGCAGTGCTGGGAAGGTCACCGTTCGCACGCTCATGTGTCCCCCATAACCAGCGTTTTGAGCGCGGTGTACGTCTAGTGTCGTGCACAGCACGTGCTTCGAGTGAGATTTAGGCGGCCTCTCATCTTCCGCAAACGCTGAGTCGTAATTCCTACGGAATATGGGGTCAGTTTCACAAAGCATTTTCTTTAGTGCTGTTAGCTTTTGGCTAGACAGCCGCTCAAACATCGCAATCGTGTATGGTTGCAGTGCACTTTGATAGTTGCTACGCAGTGTCATCCTCGCACCGAGAAACTCGCTGAGTAAGCCACTGTAGTGGCATAACCTATGATCGAACATTTGCAGGAGGGCTAGGGGTGCGTGCTCTTGACCAGCAAGGTTTGGTTGCAAAGTTGATCTTACCCCCACACGTTTCATTTATTCACCCCTGCGCCGCAGTGTTTCACTTGTGTCTTTTACACTTCAGAGCTTATACTTCGCAACTTGCAGGTTGACATGCGTCCTAAGACACGACTAAGCCGACAAGCCTACGATGGACCGGACAGACCTTTGATCATGTGCATGGTCAATTCCACCAGTTTTCAGCGGCCCCCGCCTATGACTTACACATTGGAACAGGTATGCAATAATGCGATAGCGTGATAAGCGCACCAATCAATGTCTGTCTCCGTCTTTCGCCATGCAGTGTGGAAAAAAAAAGTATGCGAATTTTTCTGAAAAAAAAAAGAAACAAGCGATAATTGACCCTAGGTTTAATGGCTTCGCGAAAGTGAGGGCAAGATACAGATCAAGCTGAAGGCTACATGCAGTTGACTGCTCACATGGTGATCTCGTGTCAAACTCGTACCACCTCAGAAGTAAAAGCCGCAACTTCTGCATCGATTCTCGTATACTTTATATATTTCGCAGGAGACTGAAGCACTTGAAGGTGAAGTTGTGTGAACGTTCCCTTTCAGTAAGAGCGAACGACCGAACAGCTTTGGCCTGACAGTGAGACGTGCAGGAACCGCTGAGAGAAGCAGGTTTTCCGTAATAATAGGAATCCCGTGCATTATGACAGAGCCATATCATGCGCACACCGGATAATGCGGTCCGCGGCTTATAGAATTCTGAACTTTTATCTTCCCCAAACCTTGCGCAGGTGCCTTCGAACTTGTGCTCGCACGTCGTGTTCCCGCTGTCCGGCTCCGCCGACTGGTCCGATGACATGTTACACTACGACTACACGCACAAGATCACCCATCCGAACTTGTACCGCGAAATGGTGCGGCTAAAGAAAGAGCGACCCGCGCTTAAGATTCTCGTCAGCGTCGGCGAATACGAGGTGAACAATGGCCTGTTCCGCTACGCCGCTGAGTCGATGCACGCGACGGTGCAGTTCTGCAGCGCTGTGCTTCGCTGGACGCTCGGCAACGGCTTCGACGGACTCGTCATCCACCGAATGTTCACGAGCGGCTCGCCCGGCGAAGACCGACGCGGCATCATCGTGCTGCTTCAGAAGTTGTGGGTGCACTTCGAGCGCCACGGCCTCACGCTCATCGTGGTGTTCGAGCCGGAGACGGACGTCTTCAACCAGCCGCTGCTGGGGGGCAAGATCTGCTCGTACGTCGACTACGCGGTCGTCGTGGCGCACGGCTTCCGCAGCGAAGTGTTTGCAGACTTTCCCAGCCCGATGCGGAGCCGGTCGGCCCTGAACGTGACGACGGACTTCGACACCGCCGTGCAGCGCGCGCTGGCCAGCGGCGTCCCCGTGCACAAGCTCATCGTGAGCGTCTCTCTAGACGGGGCTTCGTACACGCTCGACGAGAAGGCGGATCACAAGCCGGGCTCCGTGCTACTCGCGGGCCGATCTGAAGGAATCCCGGGTCTCTTCACGCGTTGTCCGGGAGTGCTCAGCTACTTCGAGATCTGCAGGCGGCTCGTGTTCGAGAACTGGACGCGCGCGTGGGACGACGTCGCCGAGTGCCCGTACGCGTACTCGGACGACCAGTGGGTCGCCTACGAGGACCAGCAAAGCTTGATGGCCAAGGCGGAGTACGTGCGCAACCGGTCCTTAGCGGGCATGATGGTCTGGGACGTGTCCAGCGACGACTACCGGGGGGACTGCGGCTCGCCGAACGTTCTCGTGCAGACCATTTACCAGAACTTCCAGACTGTGTTTAAACTCGACTAACGGCGCCAGCTCACCCTCTACTCGTGTATCACCGTCATCTTTCGTCGCATTCAGACCTCCGAGACAAGGACTCAATTTCTTGTACGTTCGGAACGGCCTCTAAGCCTCGCCATTTTTAACCACCTATGCTCGCTAGGCAAATCACGGTTGTGGTTTCTGTCGCGGGTCATCATCATGGTCCTAGCTTCATTCTAGCGCATGTCCCCACGTCCGTGCGCAGCACAATGAATAAATGCATGCTGTGCATGCTCAAGGACGTCTCATAAATGTATTTGGCATCGCGGATGCCTTTATGTTGTATATCAGAGGTCATTTTTTGGGGGGGTGGGGGTGGGGTGATTACGTAATATCCAAGAGATCTAGTTGACAGTGGCCATTTGAAACATTGTCATTATGATGCGGGTAACGAATTGCTTACAAGTACAAACCCTTTCAGATACAAGTTCCGAGAACAGATGATGTAATTCCAGCCATGCTTACAAATTTTAATTTTTGTGCACCAACCATTATGTCGTCGATTATCAATTGCATAAAATTTTTATTCAGCACAAAAGACCCAATATTTCTTTAACATGGTCACCAATTCCGGAAAATGGAGAAGAGTGAAGAAGATGAGTAGAGGACGCTTAAGCTTTGCCTTCAAGGGATGTTCGCGATAGCGTAATCGGGCCACGTGGGCATCGCGTCACCTTCTCAACTGCTGACCTGCTTCGTTTCTCAATGGGCGCATAATATTGGACGTTTCAAAAATATCATTGAATGCCTATTCAAAGCTCACTACGCCATAATCGGCTAGCAGTGAAAAAGTAGTGCCAGGGTCTATGCATGCGCGATTTCCCTAGCAAGCTCGCCATACTTATTGAGTCCAAACGTTTCAATACAGTAACCAACTATATTTACTTGATTGTGCATGTAAAGTTTTGACAGTGACATGAAACTTGACACATCACCTTTTTTACTTTGATACTAAGTGCTATGTAACATCAAAACCTATGTGCAATATTAAAAGACAGGGCATGCAAATATGGACCACCAAATTATTTCTTGTGTACCTGTTTGCATGCCCCTGCCTTTCAGAATACTTACCAACATTGTTACTTACCAAGTCTGTTACCAATATATTGCGACTAGACGAAACATCACGAAGTACAGCTATCAGCATTACTGCTGTAGTCCAGATCTCCGACTATTTGGTATTACGTAAAGGGCAACACAGAGTTCATCAATTAAATGCTCATTAATTTTTAAAACCTGGACATGTTTTCTGACCCCGGCCAGCATATGCGTTCTTTAATGACATCGAACTCTCGTTCATTTGGTAATATTTGGCCACAACCAGGTTGATTCGGATTACATTCAATTTTGTGCTGGGTGTCACAAATTTGCGAAGTAAACAAATAAGAACGGCATTCGCCGACAGCTGCAATGGCTGCGGGCTGGGCGTTATGATGGAGTGGCAGTCATCCGCAATCCCATTGTTCGTATTGTCACGATGAGTCACAAGTACTGGGGGATTTATTGAACGACCGGGTAGCTAGCTCTAGTACGATGCGTCAGTCGTGGCTGGCTCTCGAGCAGAGAAGAAGACACGCGATCTTCTTTTTCCTCCAGCTTGAGAGCCGCTCTTGCTGTCGACCCACTACGTGCTGGTGGCATTATCCCCCCTTCCGAAAAGAAAAAAAAAACAAGTCCCAAAAAGAGGAAAGAAAAGTACATAGCATCACCGCGATGCTACAACATAGGCACGTGAAAAAGAAATTGGAAATTCGGATAAAGTGAAAGTAAAGATTGAAAAGCATGCCAAAATAAAAAAGGTCAATGAACGAGAAAGCAAGTTCACACAAATAAACAAACAAAACACAAAGGATGCTGTACGGTAAAGGAAAAGTTACGAGCAACGCGCAATAAATGGTTTCATGCGCAACACATGAACGACGTCCGGCCTCAGCCCTGTCCTACTCCGTGCATGGGGTGTTGAGTCCGGAACCACTTCGTAGTTCACGTCACTGACGCGGCGTAACACTTTATAAGGGCCAAAGTACCGGCTCAGCAACTTTTCACTAAGGCCACGGCGGCGGACGGGCGTCCACACCCAAACTTGATCTCCGGGGCTGTAAAACACTTCTCTGTGGCGGGTATTATGGCGTCGTGCGTCTGCTTGCTGTTGCTGGCCGATGTGCAGTCGCGCGAGCTGCCGGGCTTCCTCAGCACGCTCTGCGAATTCTTCGGCGTCAGTTGCCAACTCGTCTTCGTCTTGACACGGTAGCATGGAGTCTAGCATGGTCTGCACTTCGCGGCCGTAGAGAAGCCGAAATGGCGTGAATCGCGTGGTCTCTTGCACGGCGGTATTATACGCGAAGGTCACGTAAGGTAAGATCCGGTCCCATGTTTTGTGCTGTACGTCGATGTACATTGAGATCATGTCTGCGAGGGTCTTATTCAGTCGCTCAGTAAGTCCGTTGGTTTGCGGGTGGTACGCAGTTGTCCTTCGGTGTCTGGTGTTGCTCAGTTTAAAAACTTCGTCCGTAAGCTGCGCCGTGAATGCCGTCCCTCTGTCCGTTATTACACTGGAGGGAGCTCCGTGTCGTAACACGATGTGGCGCATGAAAAATTGTGCTACCTCCGAAGCCGTGGCTCGTGGGATCGCTTGGGTTTCAGCGTAGCGTGTCAAATAGTCGGTCGCGACGATCACCCATTTGTTGCTGTCCGCAGACAGGGGAAATGGCCCGAGAATGTCCATGCCGACTGTGTCGAATGGCGTGCAAGGAGCTTCAATGGGCTGAAGCAAACCAGCTGGCTTAACAGATGGTTGCTTTCGGCGCTGACATTCCCGACAGCTCTTGACGTACTTCTTGACGCTTGCCGAAAGTCCTGGCCAATAGTACCTCTCACTCACTCTGGCAAGTGTCCGTGAGTAGCCCAGATGACCGGATGTGGGTTCGTCATGGCAAGCGAAGAGGACGTCGTCTCGCATGTCTCGAGGAACCACCAGGAGGTAGGCACGGTTGTTCGAACGAGCGTTCTTCTTGTACAGCACACCATCTCGAAGGCAGAACGATGGCAACGAGCGGAATAAATGACGTGGTATGATTGTGTCCTGGCCCTCTAAATGATCGATGATCGGACGAATCTCTGCGTCATCCCGCTGCCGTTTACTCAAGTCTGATGAGCTAATGGCGCCCAGGAAGCCTTCGTCTTCCTCTGCTTCCTGACTGACGACAAGAAGGGGTGCACGTGACAGTGTGTCAGCGTCTTCATGCTTACGGCCGGACTTATGGACGATGGTGACGTCAAATTCCTGCAGCCGCAAGCTCCACCGTGCTAGCCGTCCTGAAGGGTCGCGCAGGCTTGCCAACCAGCAGAGGGCGTGGTGGTCCGTCACTATCTTAAAGGGACGACCATAAAGGTACGGGCGGAACTTGGTGATTGCCCACACGACTGCGAGGCACTCTTTCTCCGTAGTGGAATAATTCGCCTCGGCACGGGATAGAGAGCGGCTGGCGTAGGCTATCACTCTTTCGATGTCCTCTTGACGCTGAACGAGCACTGCACCGAGCCCAATGTTACTAGCATCGGTATGGACCTCCGTGTCAGCATCATCGTCGAAATGAGCGAGAACGGGCGCTGATTGCATGCGCTGTCGCAGCTCATCAAAAGCTGCTTGTTGCTCGTTTTCCCAGACAAACGGCGTGTCGTCCCTTGTGAGACGAGTCAGAGGTTCTGCTATCTGTGAAAAGCCATGAATGAATCGGCGATAGTAGGCGCACAAACCAAGGAAGCGCCGGACGGCTTTCTTATTGACAGGAGCTGGTAATTCGGCAACAGCGGCAAGCTTGTCCGGATCGGGACGGATTCCTTCGGCGCTAACTACATGTCCAAGAAATTTTAGTTCTTTATAGCCGAAGTGGCACTTCTGTGGTTTTAGTGTGAGGTCCGCCGATCGGATAGCCTCCAGCACGCTGCGCAGGCGGTGAAGGTGCTGCTCGAACGTGGTAGAGAAGACCACCACATCATCAAGGTAGACAAGACAAGTCTGCCACTTCAGCCCTGTGAGGACAGTGTCCATCATTCGCTGGAAAGTTGCCGGCGCTGAACACAAGCCGAAAGGGAGTACTCGAAATTGGTATAGGCCGTCTGGGGTCACAAAGGCTGTCTTTTCGCGGTCTCGCTGATCTACCTCGATTTGCCAGTACCCGCTTTTGAGATCGAGAGAAGTGAAATAATGGGCACGACGAAGTCTATCTAGCGAATCGTCGATACGCGGTAGCGGGTACACATCCTTTTTGGTCACGTTGTTAAGCTTTCGGTAATCGACGCAGAAGCGTAGCGACCCGTCCTTCTTTTTGACAAGCACGACTGGAGATGACCACGGGCTGTTGGATGGTTCGATAACGCCATCGTCAAGCATCTCGCGAACTTGCGTACGTATCGCTTCACGTTCTTTAGCCGACACGCGGTAGGGGTGCTGGTGTATTGGGCGTGCGTCCTCGTACGTGATGATCCTGTGTTGAGTGATGGACGTCTGGCGGACCTTTGAACAACTTGCGAAGCAAGACCTGTACTCGAACAAGAGCGCTCGCAGCGCAGTCTGGTTATCAGTGGACAGATTAGGATTGATGTCAATGTTGCTCATTGATGTGTCTGCGTTATCCACTATTTCTGACGTGAGACAGTTGGTTACGTTTGCTACTTCGTGGGCAAACGCTATCGAAGTGCCACGGAAAAGGTGTCGATGCTCGTTGCTAAAGTTGGTAACGAGCAATTCAGATCGGCCGTCACGAACGTGTATTACACTTCTCGCTACACATATGCCTTGCTGCAGGAGGTGTTCTAAATTTGTCTCGGCCACCACATCGCCATCGCTCAAACCACAGCATGTTACGTCGACTAGAACACTGGCTCGGGGAGGAAGCGTCACGCTCTGTTCAGAAATACGGAGTACGTCGACACGCCTTCCGTCATCCTGCACGTTGATTGCTCGCTGGGCTGAGAACGTGACGCGGCGCTCTTGCAGATCAATGATAGCTCCGTTTTCCTGTAGAAAATCAACTCCCAGAATGACGTCACGGGAGCATTCAAGTAGAACAAGGCAGCTTGCTACGAATGTGTACCCTTGAATCTGTACTCTAGTTGTGCAGGCGCCCAGTGGAGTAACGACATGGCCCCCAGCTGTCCGAATCTGCGAGTTATGCCACGGCGTGATTACTTTCTTCAGCTGCGTTGTCAGTTTCCCGCTCAGTATGGAATAGTCTGCGCCGGTGTCCACTAACGCATTAACTACACAACCATCAATTGTTACTGCTATGTCGAGTGAAAGCCGGCTATCCTTTGCAGCAGCAGGTGATGTCGGACCAGTTTCTGTACGGTTCTGCGTCAATAGGAGGTCTTCAGCGCTTCGACGTTCAGCGACCCCGCCCCCAGAGGTCGCTTCGGCTAGTTTTCCCGGCGGGGGCTGGGAGATCGTGTGGTGGAATACCGCTGGGGCATTGATGAAAATCGCCTCGGTGATGGCGAGCGCGACTGGCGCCCGGCAGACGGTGGTTCATGCTGCTGGGAGAGGTAGTTTTGGATGTCGCGTGGTCTCTGACCGTAACGGGGTGGCGGCGAGTACGCAGAGAAGCCGCGAAGCCCAAGCCGGCGATAAGGACACTGGCGGTACAAGTGATCAGCTTCTCCGCAATGAAAGCATAGAGGCCGGTGATCGGGTGTGCGCCAGACATCAGACTTCCGAGGATACGAGTGCCGATCGTCGATGTACTGGACCGGTTGTACCGAACGATGGGCAACAGAAGCACCACGGCCAAAGGGCAGGGGCGGTGGCGTGTACGTGCCTTCGTAGTATGGTATGTGCTGCGCTGACTCGAGTGAAACTGCAGGGACAGGATGAACGAACAAAGGCGGCGATGCAGCAGGGCGTTTCAAGGCTTCCGCGTAGGTTGTCTTACGGTGGTATTCAGCAGGAGCTGGCGCAGCTGTATCAGGAGGCAAGGTGTCCCGGAGGGCCTGGTGCAGCTCATCTTTGATGACAGTTGCAATAGAGCTAACCGTAGGATGAGGTGTTACACCAGCCTTTTGCAACTCTTCACGTACGATATTACGAATGAGTTCACGTAAGGAGTCATTGCTGGTCCCAGCGGCGGCGAAAATGTCAGCAGTGGACATGCCACTGACTTGCCTGTCGTATTGGTTTGATCGCTGCTGTAGCATTTTTTCCATTGTCACGGCTTCAGACAAGAACTCCGCGACCGTCTTCGGAGGGCTTCGCACGAGGCCGGCGAAAAGCTGGTCCTTGACACCACGCATCAAGTGACGCAACTTCTTGTCCTCCGTCATTCTTGAATCTGCCCGTCGGAAGAGACGCGTCATGTCTTCGACGTACGCGGTCACAGTTTCGTTTGGCGACTGGACGCGGGCAAGAATAGCTCGTTCAGCTCTTTCTTGGCGGTCAGCGCTGGCATATGCCTGCAGAAGTCTACAAGAGAATTCTGGCCACGTCGTCAGCTGCTCCTCTCGATTTTGATACCACGTGCGAGCCCCGTCTTCGAGATAAAAGTAGACACGACCCAGTTTCGCCGCGTTGTCCCACTGATTCAAGTTGGCTACGCGCTCGAAGTCCGCCAACCAGTCCTCAACGTCTTCGCTCTCCGTATACCATGGAACGTCGTCGGTGCCCGTGGGCTTTCCAACGTATATCGGTTCGACGACGTGCTTCCCGTGCCGGTTGGCAAGGTTTGTACCGAAGTGCTGGTCATGTTTGTTGACGTGGTGGTAGCGGTATCGTTGACTTCCGGAGGCAATCCCCTGATTCAGCGGCTCGTCCGATGCACGGGAGTATTGACTGGCACTGGACTCGTATTACGGCTTCCTGGGGGGGTCTGCAGCATCCGTGAGACTACCCAGCACCTTCCACCAGTTTGTCACGATGAGTCACAAGTACTGGGGGATTTATTGAACGACCGGGTAGCTAGCTCTAGTACGATGATGCGTCAGTCGTGGCTGGCTCTCGAGCAGAGAAGAATTGTTTTGTTTTGTTTCCCTGGGAGGTTGGCTCATACCCACTCAGGGGGATTGGCCAAGAAAGTGTAGTGCAGTTTTTCTGTAATCATTTTAACTATGTGTAATGAATTGGTATTATAATAAGACTAATGTAAAAATAAAAACAACATAAAAAGAGCAAACGAAAAAAAAAAGAAGAAGACACGCGATCTTCTTTTTCCTCCAGCTTGAGAGCCGCTCTTGCTGTCGACCCACTACGTGCTGGTGGCAGTATGTTGTATGCTATGGGTTCATTGCACATTTCAGATTAATACACAGGGATCATGACCAGTGTTCACATCGTGAACAATTTGGCAAATGAGTAAAGTTGTGGCTTTTGCACTGTTCTTATGCAAAATATTACTGAATTTGTGTATACATAAAAAATGAAAGTGCACTGTTGAAAGACATTTATTATTTTCTTGATATTTTCAATAATTTGCAATTAGGTTCATTCGGGCAGTTTCTTATTCCTGTGAAATCAAAATTAACGAGTGTTTACTATATATCTCTAGCAAACTAATTATCCTTGATACTCCACTAGAAAGACAATTCCAATGCATAAACAAAAGCTCATTACATGGAAAAAGAAAGCACTATACGTATTTGCACATAATGAACTGTGCTCACAAAATGACACACTATGTTAGAGATGTATCACAAGTGGTATGTGCAATTAACTGCTCATGATAACTATGTCATGTTGCAACAAGTAGAGCTAGTAACAGGGATGTTGGCTCTAACACAAGTATATGAGCCAGTGTTAGGCCTGTGTGGCATAATGCAAGGATGGTGGAGCTCTGACTTGAGGAGCTTCATTCTGTGAGCAGTGTACATTTGTATCATAATTTACTTTTGAGTCCACAATGGCTCGCAGTGTAGGTTGTTGCTGAGGTTATTTTATTACAAATTCACATACAAAAATGTGGTACAGCCTTGCAAAGTTACTTGGCATATAAAGAAAAAAAAATCACCCTTCAAGTGGAAAAAAAAAAGGGCAAACAGACGTAATGCTTTGTAGTTACTTAACAGCATTTTAAAGTGGACTGTTCGATGCTTCATTTCCATAAAATCTGAAGTTTTTGCTTTCTAGCTGGATTATGCTGGCATATGAATATTAAGTGAAATAAATGGTGTAACATTAAATGTGGAAAGACATTAATATAGACCTTGTTTTGTATTTATCCTACATTTAGTATTTCTGAATTCCAAGACTTGCTCATGAATCTTGCACATTTCAACTGAACCGAGACATCTTGCTCCATCACTTATCATCCTAGCAGCCAATGTAAAATATGAAAAAAAAAAAACTTTCCAATTCAAGTACTTCTTTTCTCACACAAAAAAAAGGGGCACAAATGGTCGTCAAAAATAAGCTGAAGGCGACTTGAATAACTTAAGCACATTATAAGCATTGTTTGTTTTGGGCTAATTAATTCATATAAGCTAAATAGATTCTAACGACTGTCGTGCCTGCTCCAGCACCTCCTTGGCAATGAGGTATTCCTCCGTTTCTGAGAGGTGTTCAGAGCCCTCCTGCAATGAGAAATATTAAAAACCATGTTTAGTGAACTTTAGCAAGTGATCAGTAATTAACAATTTAGCAACTGACTGAATAGGGTGCATGAGTGTATGCAACACAAGGTCTATGTAAAATGCTGTGGTTAAGGCTTCCAGGTTATATCTTCTGTCTTAACACAGGCGGGCGCAGCTAAGCAGCAAGGACGATGGTCGGGCAGTCAACGACAGTGTTTATTGTCCGCAGCGTGGTTATATACATTGCCATTAGGAGAGGGTGAAGGGAGGGGGAAAAGGGAGAATGAAGGCGCACAGTGCCCAAACGGAATGGTGCGCGCGCAGCTGTTTTTGCTGGCGTTACAAACGAAACAAATACAACATTTCTTTCCTCTTAAAAGTGGAACCGTTGTACCGGGTTCCGAACTCTTGTCGATCGCCTCAGCGTTGGCTGATGCGGGACCACCTCAGGCGAGTGTTCGCCCGTAGCGACTGGAGGTTCCGTAGCAGCTGGTGGGGAAAACTCACTCCGACCATCCGCGGCCGGTAGCTCTGGGCTTCGCTCTTGCTAATTCCGCCTGGACGTGCGTTGCAACGCTGGAGACGGGACAGGAGTAGTCACGCTGGCAGGTTCAGCTTCAGCGTCCGCGCCTTCAGCCGTCCCCGCAGTTGCAGACTCCGGCGTCGATTCGCAGTGGCGGCGGACTTGGTCGATATGACGCTGCACTAACCGTCTTGGTGTGTCCACTGCTATCATTCTCGCCCCCGACGCAGCTTTTACGCGTCCAGGCGTCCATCTTTTGCCGGCACCGTAGTTGCGCACGTAGACGCTGCTTCCTGGCGAGCTGGTCCAATCGTCAGCACCCGGCGACCAATTCTCATCCCTGGGCGGCAGGCAGGTGTCAAGACGGGACCGCAGCTGGTAACCGAGAAGCATCTCAGAGGGTGACTTTCCTTCTTTTTGCGGGGTCCTCCTGCAATGGAATAGCAGGCGCATGATGTTATCATCTAGTGGACCATCTTGCATTTTCCGCAAGCCATCCTTAAGGGTTCGCACTGCTCTTTCCGCTGCTTTATTCGACTGAGGATGGAAAGGCGCTGTACGCAAGTGCATAATATTGTTTCTTGCTACAAACGTGGCAAACTCCTGGCTCGTAAATTGCGTGCCATTATCGGACACGATTGTGCGTGGCACTTCGAACCGACAAAACAGACTTCGTAAGCAGCGAATAGTACCCGCTGTGTTCACATGCATCATAGGTATTGCTTCAATCCACTTTGTGTGAGCATCTACCACCACAAGTATCATCTTGCTGGCTAATGGGCCCGCAAAATCGATGTGGATCCCAGACCACCTTTCGGCCGTTTTCGGCCAACTCACCGGTGGTGCTGCCGCAGGCATGGGCAGGTTTTCTACACAGCTTACACACTGCGCCGACAATTCCTGAATCTCCCTGTCCATCCCTGGCCACCAAAACAGTGACCGTGCCACCGCTTTCATTGACGAGGAGCCTTGGTGTGTTTCATGTAGCAGCTGCAACATCCTTTCCTGCGCCTTCCGTGGTATGACGACTCTGTTGCCCCAATAGATTAGCCGGTGAGCCATCGACAGCTCCATTTTGCGATCAAAAAAAGGCAGCAAGTAGGGCACCATTCCACTTGTTGTTCGAGGCCAGCCATGCAAGATGTATTCCGCGACACGGGCTAACAACGAGTCCTTGGCAGTGAGCTCCTGCAACTCGTGCGTCGTCACTATACCTTCGTCCAGGGCCTCCAACGACAGGACGTACTCGGGAGACTCCCCTTCGGCTATTGGTTCCGCTGCCGCCGGGGCTGGTAGTCCGCTGAGGGCATCTGCTGTCAGTAGTTGTTTCCCCAGAACGTAGTGTAGCTTGTACTGGTAGCCTCCTAGAAACGGTGCCCACCGTTTAATGCGCGTGGCGGCCATCGGCGGCGTTTGGCGGTCAGGCTTGAGCAGTCCCAGCAGTGGCTGATGGTCGGTTACCAGGGTGAATTGCCGACCTAGAAGGTAGTCACGAAAACGAGAAACGCCAAAAATCAGTGCCAAGGCTTCTCGCTCCAGCTGAGAGTAGTTTCGCTCCACTTTTGTTAACGTTCTGGAGCGAAAACCGATTGGTCTGTGCTCATTTCCCGCCGAGTGAAACAGAACAGCACCCATGCCATACGGGGAAGCATCACATTCTAGCTTCAGTTCCCTGTTGGGATCGAAATGAACGAGAAGCTGCGCATTCTTTAACATTTCTTTCGCTTTCTCGAACGCTGACTGCTGCGGTTCCCGCCATTCCCAACGGGCTCGTTTTTCCATGAGCTGATACAAGGGGCCGAGCAGAGTCGACATGTTGGGCAGGAAACGTGCGTAGAACGGGAGCATGGCAAGGAACGAGCGCAATTCGTTAACGTTACGCGGGCGCGGGGCTTGCATGACGGCATTTACGTTCTTTTCAATGGGGTGGAGGCCTTGCCGATCTATACGATGGCCAAGGTAAGTCACAGAAGGTTGCCGAAGCTTGCATTTGTCAATCCCAAGTTTAACGCCGTGCTCTCGGAACCGCTCCAACACTCTCTTGAGCTGCTCTCCGTTATCACTCTTGCCTTCTGACACTAGCACGTCGTCAAGGTAGGCTTCAACACCCGGCAGCCCGCCAAGTACTGCATCCATCTTTCTTTGAAAAATGGCCGGTGCGGAAGCTATTCCAAACGGAAGTCTGTTATACCGGAAAAGCCCTCGGTGCGTGTTAATGACGCACAGCCCGCTGGACGCTTCGTCAAGGGGCACTTGATTGTATGCATCTTTTAAATCCAAGATGCTGAAACATTCGCCTCTGTTTAAGCTTGCGAACATGGCCCACAATAGGTGTAGCCCATTCTGCATGTTGCACGGGCGATAGAACACCAAGTGACACCAGCCGATCAATTTCACGAGAAACCTTATCGCGGAGGGCGTAAGGAAGAGATCTGGGCTTACAGAATTTCGGTGTCGCTGTCTCCTTGAGTTTTAGGCTGGCTGGTGGACCCTTGATTAGTCCAAGGTCTGTTGAGAAAACATCCTCGAACTCGCCGAGCAGTCGGTTCAGCATAGGGTCGCTTGGCTCGGCGCTTGCTGTAGGGTCCGGCGCAGTCAGGTCTCCAATGGGAACGCCCGTCTTGCTAAGCAAAGCAATGAGATCGCGGCCACATAGGCTGGGTCCTCCACAGTCAAGCACGATGAGCGGGCAAGGCACAGATACACTTTTATACTTCACTGGGAGTTCGAGTTCCCCCAACACCGGAAGCTGTCCCGCGTAACATGACACCTTGATTCGTGGTGGTTGTAAGCGCGGCCACTGTGCGTGGTGTCGATCGTACACTTGGCGCGATACGACGCACACCGGGGAACCCGTATCCACTTCCATGGCAAGGTCTACGTTGCCCCATCGAAATGTGCACCGTATGGGTGGTTCCAAACCGTTTTTTTCTTCCCGAAATCAACGTCCAAACGTGTGCGCTATCCAGGTCGTCGTTGCTAGACGCGCTTTCAACTGTCAGTGCCTTTACACTTGCTGCCCGCCTTCCCACCTTTGCATCAGTTGGAGCACTGTAGCATTTCTTTGCCAAATGACCGCGCCGCCCACAGTGATAGCAGCGTGCGTTAACCCAGCGGCAGGCGTTATCGTCGTGCTTCGTGCTTCCACATCGGCCGCAGTCATGCGATGCACCTAGTGTACGATTACCTCGAGAGGGCGAGCGATGATGGGCTTGCATTTTTAGCACAGTTGGCAGCTCTGCACTCATATCTTTTGCATCGCTGTCGGTTGCCTCGGCTGCAATGGACATTGATTCAGCCTCCTCGAGGGTTAAATCTTTATGTGCCAGTAACTGCTTGCGCAAGTTAGTTGAGCGTACGCCGCAAACAATCCTGTCCCTCAACATCCGGTTCAGCGCACTTCCGAAGTTGCAATTGTCTGCTATGCGCCGTATTTCGACTAGGAATGTGTGCACCGACTCCCCTTCTTGTTGGAAACGGGTGAAAAACTTGTAGCTTTCTGCAATCTCGTGACGCTTGGGATCGTAGTAGTCATTTAATTCTGCGATCGCTTCGGCGTAAGTAAGGGAATTCGGCGTCCGAGGTGCAATTAGCCCCGCTAGCACTTGCACAGTCTGAGTGCTGCCACCAGAAGTGCTCTCTGCCTTTTGGAGTCAGTAATAGCATTTGCTTCAAAATACGCTTCAGCCCGAACAAGGTATGGTTTCCACTTATCTCTTGTATCGTCGAAAACTGGGAGCTGGAGGCTGGTCATGGTCGCCGGTACTTGTTGCGGCAGGCCGTCTGCTTCAACTTTCACGGCAGCATGGGCGGTTTCCGGGCTCGTCGCCACTGTCGTAACACAGGCGGGCGCAGCTAAGCAGCAAGGACGATGGTCGGGCAGTCAACGACAGTATTTATTGTCCGCAGCGTGGTTATATACATTGCCATTAGTAGAGGGTGAAGGGAGGGGGGAAAGGGAGAATGAAGGCGCACAGTGCCCAAATGGAATGGTGCTGGCGCAGCTGGTTTTGCTGGCGTTACAAACGAAACAAATACATCTTCAAAACCCAATTATGCACCTGAAGCCTTGTAAAGAAAGGTTTTTGCGTAGTACAAAAATGAGAATGCCGCTTCTGCAATGAAGAATTCAATGCACACTCTCAACTAAACCTGATATAGTTGGTAATCCAACTTAACCAATGCCTCCACAATTTTATTTTTCGATGCCACTGCAAACACTTACTCCTCAATAGGAACTGCTCGCCTACCTCAGTTCAGGTAGCTGCATGGTGCGACAACACCTAAAGGGTGCGACCCCTTGTGCCGCACAAGCATATGAAGCGTACGATGCTGCTGTGCCCGTGAAGGAGCGGTAGATGCGCCGTCCCTCCGCTATGTTACGTGTGTCAGATTTACTCCTCCGTACTCCTTCCTTTGAAGCTAGAAACATCACTGTCACGTCGCAGCCCTCATGTGGCACATTTTAAAGCCAGTACATGCAGCAGGGTCGCAGTGACGCGTCCCCTTCGGGAGCCTCCATAATGCCACAAATGGGGAGACGCCATCCCGTACATGGCTTATCTCTAAAGATGCAAAATATCGCTCCGCGCATTGAAACACAGTAGAACGAATAATCACTTCCCCTTATTTCTATATTAAGGAACCACATGAAAGGTACTTTTACCCATGAATGCAAAGCAGGCGTGAGTGCTAGCCGATGGGGGGAAAAGTAGGAAAGGATGATAGGAGAAGGTGGTGAACGGTTAGTTCGGGCGCGTCTAACTGGCATTGAAAAAAACTTGAAGCGCTCTTGCGACACTAGTTACATGCCCACAAAAAATGGATATTAACTGCTTCCAAAGCGCTAAATGCCATTCACAGAGATGTGTAAACATACAAATGGCAATAAATCTTATGGTGAATTGCACTGGCTGATTCAGAGCACTTCCAGTAGCAATTTTTCTGCTCCATGCCGAGCAGGTCTGTTGCATAAGCAGATTGAAAGTGCACCCTGTATATTTGGTTGGCAGATCTGGAGCAGCTATCTCTACTCCGTGAAAAGCAACGAATTTCGCCGGAAGTTGCATGTGCTCCACGAGTGTGCAGAGGACAGCATACAATGTAACCGACGAAATGCACGTGAAGGCAAGAACTGGGCAAAATGAAAGGAATGTTGGCCTCTTCCGGAAGCGGATGTGCACTAGCACACTCTGCCACTAGCTCTGGCAAGAGTGCCTGTGTTCCACTGGCAGATTCCCTTCGGTTGCCCTTCACGAAATTCGTTAGGACACTCAGAAGCCGTGAATCGAATCCACCAATATTATCAATTGAGGTGTAATGCATCTTTTTAAGTCATTCGGCTGTCAGATATGAGCTCTTGTCAATTATTTGCACTCAATGCACATAAGCTGAAAGTTTACATAAAGGTGAAATAATTATACAAAAGCATGCAGATTCTTATTTTTGGTGTTACTTCTCATACTTCTGACTTAAATATTAAAAACACCTCAAGATTGTCGGCCTGAGAAATTTAGTTACTGTCAATTAAAATGAATAATGCTGTCAAAAGTGAGCATGTAATGGTAATGAGGACAGTCTAGAGGAGATTCATACCACTGCATGCATTCACTTTTTGACCATATCAAAATTAAGTGAACCAAGAATGAACATCACAACACAGTAGCCCCTAAGTCTGGGCACTAATCAGGGGACATGGTAATGAACATCACAACATAGTAGCCCCTAAGTCTGGGCAGTAATCTGGGGACATGGTAGGTAAGTGAGAAAGAATAACATGAGCCCGATAAACATCACCCTGTAGGCACCAATTACAGCGCTGATGTATCAATGTTACACAGTTGAAGTTTGTATGGAACAAACACTGGTACTAGGAACTTAAAAGGAAACTACGGCAAGCTCTTCGTCACATAAGAGAATCGCTTATTTAGAAATTTTCTATGCAAACATACTGTACGACGCACTATGTAAGACTATGTAAGACTGGACTGTGACTGAGTGTGAGCGCATGTGCTGCTTAATGTGCTGTGTTTATCTCTGTTCCCTCTCTTCTCTCTATCTTTCATTTCCCCCATCCCCCTCTCATGCACAGGGTAGCAAACCGGCTGCCTAAAGACTGGTCAACCTCTCTGCCGTTCTTTTCTTCCTATTTTCCTTCCTTTCAATAAAATCATGAATTGAAAATAAGAACTTCTACTTTTCATGTTGCTATTTAAAATATTCAGACTACCTATCCTCATATGTCTTGACAGGTACTAAATTTATCTCACCTCCTCACTTTAAGCATTAAGTGAATAAATCTACATGGATGGAGGTGAACACCACTTACGAGGACCTCTTTGAGCTCGTTGTAGGCGACAAGCAGCCTCTTCTGGCTGTCGGGGATCATGCTGAGGGTCTCATTGATCACTTCCTCCTATAACAGAACGAAATAAAATCCAAGAATAATCTGAAAAGTCTTCCCAAGACAAGAAGTAATGCTACAGAACAAGATCGAAATCACTTCAGACCATCACCCTTTCCCTGAGCTTCAGTCTTCAAAATAGGTTATATTATAGCAAAAAAGTTTCAGAGGCACATGACTTGTATTAACATATTCTTATCCACCATGCTAAAGGACCTACATGACCTACTGAAGTCCCACATATTCGTTATGCCACTACTGGTTTAGTTCTAGTGCACACACCTGCTGCATTGTTCACACTACATGTCCAAGACACTGAAGAACTTACTGATGGCAGCTACCATAATGTAAAGTCGTAAGGGATCTTAACACGAACACTTTGCAGTAGGTCCTTAAACAGTTCGACGCTACTGCCATGTGGCTTTTAGTTTTGCTGCAGTTATGTTACCTGTGCATGCAGACATACTATCCAAGCGTACTAAGGTGTTACATCAACAACAGCGTCCAGTGCTTCGCAGCTGGCATAAGTCAAGTTCAGATCAGACAACGGAGTATTTGTGTTGAGCTTGCTGACAACTGCACATCAAATAAGGCACAGTGTTGGCATATTAACGGCTGAATCAGGGATACCGTGTGCATGCAAACTGCCCAAAGTTCATTCACTGAATTCTGTCTCTTAGAAGATGAATAATGATAAACACTCCCCGACGTGGCTGGCTGATGATCCATTATTTTAGGCACAAAGTTATAATGTTGCCGAAAACAAGGTCGCAATTGAACTTTTCACCTATGTTCATGTTTAACTTTTTCAATTTTACACTCGTAATGAAAAATGCTTAATTGGTATGTTCATGCGCCGGGCACATAGCATGTAATCAGGATAACCACTGGTAATTAAGGGTAACTGACTGGATTCCCAGAGAAGGCAAACACACGAGGGGGAACGAAGTTAGGTGGGCCGATGAGATTAAAAAGTTTACAGGTATAACGTGGCAGCAGAAAGCACCAGACCTGGTTGATTGGCGGATCGTGGGAGAGGCCTTTGCCTTGCAGTGGTCGTAGTCAGGTTGATGGTAATGATGGCAGCACACAACTTGTAAGGGCTAAAGACAACTTACCAGTATAATAATGCACTTTGATTATCTATATACAAAGCTATAACAGTTATCTTACGGTGCAGGCAATTTCATAATTACGTGTAAAATTTTATGGATACCTGACAGTGACTTACAAGTACATGAGCTGTAGGGCTGACTTGCAATGTAAAGAGAACTTATACAATGCCCAATGAGGAAAAACGTTCAATCCTAGAATCTGCAATAATTGGAAGCACATGCGGAGGCATCTTTCAAAGTCATCTAAACTACAGATAACAGGTAAGTTTTGTTAATTGCTCTCGCACTTTAACAATGGGTATTACTTGGAGGTTCCGCACGAAAACATAGCGATAGCAGTACTTTCTTGGTTCTACAGTGCATTGAGCTTTGGTAAGTCATGTCGATAGCGTGCAAGGAAAACATATTCGAAAAAAATTGGCTCAAGCTGGAAGCTCCGCTTGCCTGCAGAGCCATGTCAGAAGCAACAACGCTGCTGAGCAGACAGTCGCATGAAATTATGTAACAGCCTCCCTGGAAAGCCATTGGTGCTACGTGTGGCAAGGATGTTGCTAAGCGAGCATTCTAGGATCTAGGAACTTTTACAAAGAGGCTGTGTGCGTATGGATGTGCCACTAGCTGCTGTTATTGGAGTGTTGGCGTAACTTTCTACAAGGAAACTTGTAGACAGCACCTAGATAGACAAACGGGAACGTTGACATTATTTTCAGGACGTCCGGCTTGTATGTATGGCGAGTTTCAATAAGGCATTGTTGAACGTGTACACAGTAGCCTCAAACATGGATGCAACTTTGCGGTTAAACAGCAGACACATTACACAGAAGCAGGAGAGCAAAACGCTGTGGACGTACAACGGCAGCCGCGGACAAGTCGCGATCGGCAACGCTTGCCCGGAAGCGATCCAGCTAGACGAGCACGCGCGTGAGTGCTGTAAATGCGTGTTATCGCTCACCTGCCGCTTCACATCGTATTCTTCTTTGCCCATTTCTTTCATCTTGGCAGCCCTCTCCCTCTCAACTTCGACCTCTTTAAGGTAGGCCGCCTTTTCCTTTGTCATTCTGCAACAGTCGGTCAGTACATTTGTAAGAAAAAAAAAAAGAACGACCGGCGTGGGCGATGATCACAAAAGAGTGAAAGCACTTCCGCGTACAATGTACGACACTCCTAGCACTTGCTTTTACAACGGACCATCGCCGTCACGACAAATCCAATATCTCCAGCAAACGTTTTTCCATTTGTTTGTAGCAATACAATCGCTCCCACTTTCTAGCAGAACAAATTAGGTACAGCTAGTGCAGCCATGGTACATCATCGTTACGCACTACATCACACAACCTACCGTTTGACAATCCCCGTCTTAATTTTTAAGTTCCGAATAGCTGCTGCGTCCATGTTTCCGTAACAGTACAGTCACTTGAGAAAAAACAAAGAACGATATCTTGAGACAGCAGCGTGTTGTCACAAAGATACGGCTCGCCCCATGCAGACAGCCGATGTTTTTTTACATTTGACGTTTATATACCGTCCCTTGACCACCGCCGTAAATTCCCCTGGCGCAGGCATGCCTTGCGCAACTGTAAATGTATTAGGTTTTGTGGCTTTGTTTCTTTACCAGCTGATAGATGCCGCTGCCAACAATGCAAGCTTTCTGTTATCATCATCAATGTAAAACAACGTTGTTTAAGTTTTTAACGCAACTACAGTGAAGTACTGTGTGAGTATTTTCTATACGGGTGTTTGGCGGTACTTAATATACTTATTTAAGATAACACGACTTGTCTAGAGGTTCTTATCTTCACCAGTGGAAATGTCGAAAGCCCGAACAAAAACGTGAACAAAACGAAAAGAGATTGTCGGCGCTGCCACCTGGCGTTCAAATAACTTAGTTCAAAGTGGCAGGCTTACGGGACATGCGAGTGGGCTAGAACGTGGCGCACCCTGGGGAACAATGCGAAAACTCGTGTGAATGCGAAAGATGCAACAGGTGTGGGGGTCGAATGCTTTGGAAACCAAGCCGCAGATGCCATAAACAGCGTTGAACACGGAGCTCGGGGTTAGCGGCTGCCCATTGCGGATCGGGTTTGAACGGGACAGCGCCATATTCGCGGTAAGTCGAACGAAACTCCGCGTTGGCACTGTATGGCCATCCTCCGGGAATGTGCTCACGAGCAGTAGAGGACATCCCCCTCGGGCGAGATGCGTGAAATCCACGTCCTCAAGCTTTCCTACGGCTGATTCGTGTTGCATGTCACTCAATGCGGGCATTGACGCGCCACTTTTGCACTATTCGTGGGTGAAACGCTTCGCGTTTTTCTGTGGGTTGCACCTCTAAGGGTCAACGACAAGAGCATTTCTTTCTTTTTGCGCTTGCCGTGGTGTGGTGGACGCCAAACATAAGCATAAAAGCAGCTCTCGCGAGGGGCACAGAGGTTTTTGGGTTAGGCGATGGTCGCTCGATAGTCAACCCGTTTCAATCCGCCGCTCAATTCTTCGCACCTTTGTACGTAGTTCGATGCCACCGCGATCTTTTGCTAGGTTTGCGAACTGGCATTGAACTCGTATTCCAATTTTCGTGGCTGGAAACGTAGACGCGGACCCACCTTGAGTGCAGGGCCCATCAATATCGCGGCGCCCTCAGCCACGTCCGGGTTCGCTTGTATGCCGCTCACGCGGTGCGCTGCCCGTTTAAAGCGCCATATCAGGCTGGTTATTTTGTCGCTTTTATACGAGTGTGCGTTCCTTCCATCGTCTTCGACCGGACTGTCGTTTCCGAGTTTAGCCTGTCACGAACAGCGTGATGGGTCAGACGTTGAAACGTAGTGTTTCTCACCAACAACTGGCTGCCACTTCGACTGTGGCACCTATACACCGATGCCCATGGCTCCCTTTCTATTTCGGTATCATTCCCTGCTCCCGTAACCTTGTGTTCGATGCTGTGTGCGTTCATTTGCATAAGCCGGAGTGCGCAATCGCGCGCGTTTGCTATTTTCTTGCGGTTGTTTCTGCTCGAATGCATATGCACACGTGTGGTCCTAGCCAAGCAGCGGAACTAAGCAGCTACATTATGCCGTGCTCATCGTATCCCGCGTCGAAAAAGGAAGCACTGCATGCCTGTCTCAGCACCCGGCGACTTGTTTCTGCGCCGACCGTTCGGATTGATATGCGGGTCGATGTCATTGACACACATCTTGTTCCTCGGAACAGTAGCGGTAATCTCTCGCGTTCAGGTTCGAGAACGGCGCGTTCTCACGTGCCCCTTTGAGCGAGTCGTTAGCATTGTTAAGTGCGCTCAGTGTCGGCGAGGTTGGCCGGATGCAAATGTCCGAGGATCCTTTACCTCCTCCCTTGTAAACACCTGCACGCGGGGAGCCAAGGACATTGGCCGCTGTGGCTGCCGGCGGTTGCTTGCTGCCAGAGGAAAGCAGCCGTGAAGTGTTCAAAATCTCAAAGACGTGACGTGACGGCTGTTGCGGAGTTTCCAGTTTTTTTTTTTGCATGCCGCCGTTTGCGCAGTGTAATGGCTGCAGCCTTGGCTTGTGACCATACTTTCGGCTCATGCAAGCGTTTTGCGTGCGTAAGGGTATATTCTCATTTCCTGTGAACGTTGCAGTGTATATACACGTTTCTGCCTGCTCGTGTCGTTATTATGCGCGACGTACGCGTGCAACCGGCTGGCGGATCATGTTTTCACGGCGTGCGGGTCGCTGCCTACGTAGTCTGTCGCAGCATTCGCTTTGATGTTCGTTCTTACGTCTATCGCATTACGATACCACTCTGGCGTAACGCTTTGACGATGACTCATCCCTCTTTGCCTTGTATATATTTGCAGTCGTGTGGGAACGTACTTTCGGCCACGCCGGGCTGCATTGTTATCGCTGAAATAACGGGTCGTTTGGCGCCGATACAAATTTGCAGGAGTGAGTCGATGCAGCTGGTGGCTTTTGCATCCTTCTCTACAGGCTGCTAAACGCGACCGTCCTTAATTTTGTGTGATTGTAGCAATGTTCGGAGTGCCAGCACTGGTAGGCAGTTGTTTCCAGCTTCTGCGATGTTTATAGCGAACTCATTCGCCATTGTGCACGTGCGTTGATCCCCCGAAGTCTCATGACGTCAAAGCATGGGCGTTCCCTGGACGGGAAGGACCATAGCATGTGGACGACCCACCGCCTCCACTTTTTGCGCACACCACTTAGGAAAAGCTAACTTACACGAACTCGCGAACTTCATGATTTAAATCCAGCTAAGCATGGTGGCAACTTATTGCTGCACCGGTAGTCTTGTATAAATTTCCTGAGCTAGACGCAGTACTCACACACGAAAAGTTTGATGAAGATAGTAAAGCTATTTGTATCTTTCCCGCTTGCTCTGCCATTTTATTTACGGCGTTGTGAGGGCCGTTAGTCGTTTCCTCGGTTGGGGTGTACGAGCTTCCATGGGCTGCCTGCGAAATAATGGTAGCTCTGGTGGGTCAAGACCGACGCAGGATCCTTGCCTAAGTGTTCTCGTCACATCTTTCTTATTCCCTCCCCTGTTTATCAGTGCTGTTACTGCCTCCTTGATGATCGATGATAGCGGCAGCATTCAATGGTGCAGGCAGATAATGCTGCACTCACCGCCTCTTTGTTTCTTTTCCTCCTTTTTGTGCGCAGCGGTCGCGAAAGGGACAGTAAAGGCAGATATGAAAGTCTATGTTGATTGCTGAAATAGCGGCTCAGAAATCTCGTAGTGCTAATTTTGTGCCAAGGAAAGCTTAGTTTGAAATAAAATGACGTTTGCATCGCGGTAGCACACTTCAAATTACTTGCCTTAAGTGGAACTTTTCACGTCACTGTTGCCGTGAACAATGTTGCCCGCCTTTACTGCGTAGCCGCCTACACTAGTAGCAGCCGAACGGAAGTAGCGGGAGCCAAAGCAGCAACAAGGGCCTTTGAACAATTTCCTGCCATGGCCTCCGAGATGACCAACGTGCTTGGTTCAACTGAGCCCGGCTAGATGGCACGACCTGTCCAGTTTAACCAGGCGGAACTTTTTAACCACTTGAGCTACCCCATAATAACGTCCGGGGGTTCTTTCCATGAATGAAAGAGAAACGAACAAGCATAATTTAATTACGTCTCCTAATGTACGAAAGGGGCTTCATTTAGTGGAGCTAATTGGATTACTAGTGATCAATTCTAGGTTGTAAGACTGACGTCACCGGGATTATTTGCGAATGTCCTACTCGTGGCACATGTGCTTTCGTGCATTCCCAATGATTTATCGGCTAGTAGGGCACTGCTGTTGATAATATTGTCGTTCTAGACGCTGCCATACATTGAGCTTCACTCTAACCTGAATTGTTATTTCACTTTAGTGTCCCTTTAAGTCGTATTAGACAATAACAGTGCCAACCAGGTCCCCAAATACCGCGTTAGAAAGCATTTGCTGCAGTACTAGCCACACAGCCGTATCATACACCAGCTTTTTCGCAGGGTGGATTTTGAACACACGAAATGTCGCGTCACTTGCATGGTATGTAAGCGGCGTAGGTCGGCAAATACTTATGCGTGCATTCACATCACACTCGTTTCATACTCCCTAGTAGCCGCTATTGCTAAAGTGTTATTAACGTTATTAGGTTCGTTTATAAAGAAAATTTACATTGCACATTTATGCTTTCTGCCTTTCTATTGCAACCTGTGTAGCCCTGTTATCTATTGCGGACTAGTGTCTACCTAATCTTTTGGTCAATGCGTAAGGACAGCATCATATTTTAACCTCTGTAATGCTAGAGTATTTGACTAATTAATGCGTTGTAAACTTCCCAACGCGAAAAGATATGAAAACTTCCTTTTGTCGCCTATGGCCTCCTTGACGTGTATATTAATTGAAGCATACGCCGCCAATGTTACATCCCCCATCACGGCATCTCAAAAAATTTATGTGAACGGTTGGTTTTGTGTCAGGGATTCCTTAAAGCGCGCGAGCCTACTGTCGATCGTGCGTACCACGCCCGCAAGTGACCGGCATGGTTTCGACAATAACTGCACTGAAAATATCCGCGTCCTGACTCTAAAATCTAACACACGTGCACGCGTGTTCACCCAGCCACATCGAGATGTGTCAAAAAACGTTTCGTCGTTTTTAACGTGATTACTGTGTAACAGGAGCTACGAAACGGAACACTTGTTACTGGTTTTGCTGGGCAAATTATTGCGTAATTTCAACAATTATGCACAGAGGCTGATAAAGGACCCCCAAGGACGCACTAGTTGAGTATGCACGCGCTCCCAGTCATTTATGCCGAGCAAGTTAGTTTTTATTCAAGGAGCACGTCGTCGTTTTCGTGTTTCTTGTCTTTTTTTTTATCTCACCCCCCCGTCCTACTACCTCAGCTGCAAACACAATGATTGCGTCGTCACCGTGAAACTAAGCTTTCCTACGCGGGCTTTGTGCATTCTTAGGCACGTGCACAAGCGAGTGCCTCACGGCGTAGTTTTTATTTGGCTCCGAAAACTTTCGTTGTGCACCCGGAAGTTGACACGCGTAATGGAGCGTTGTTGTGAAACGTCTGTTTTCTTGCTTTGCTTGAGGAGAGGGGGGGGGGGGGGTGAGACCGCGTTTTTTTCTCTAAAAGCGCGTCATCACGCATGAACCGTTTCAGTTGAAGAATATTGCGCTCATAACTACTCGGGTAGTTAAGAGCGAAATATATAACCACCCTTTTTGCTCTCTGCACGAAAAGGGACGACAGTGTGGCGGTGCAGCTATGTAAAGTCTCAGCTTGCAAGTTCTTCAGGTGGTCTACCGCGTTGGTGTAGCCGGTACGGTACTCGGATTCTGACCTCCAAGGTCGTGGGTTCGATACGGGCGTGGATGTCGCTTTTTGATGGAGGCCGAACTGTTCGATGTCGAGGCACGTTAAAGAACACCAGACATAGTTCGACATTTCCGAAGGCTCCGCTACGGCGGCCCTTATAATCATGCTAGTGTTTTGGGACTTTGAACCTATAATAATAATAATAATAATAATAATAATAATAATAATAATAATAATAATAATAATAATAATAATAATAATAATAATAATGAAGTTCATGAGATACTGGCCGCACTGCCGTATCCCTC